GTTTTTTACTATGTTTTTCTTAGTAAAAAAGGCATTTCCGAAGCTGCGAAAGCACTTTTTACTATGTTTTTCATAGTAAAAAAGGCATTTCTGAAGCTGCAGAGGCGCTGCTTCTTCTTCTTAATGACAAATCATATCTCTTCATAAAATAATTAATCCAAGAAAGATTCCTTTGAAACTCATACTTTCCTATTGAATATAATATTTGAATTGCAGGTTCTTTGGGAATTTTAACCATTTGTAATCTTATTAAAATATAATTAATAGCAAGCAATTTTTTTCTTTGTTCAACTATTCAACTATATAAAAGATTTTCTGTTTCAAGATAAAAGGCTTTTCTTTCTGGAGTTCCAGCACGTTTTTTTTTTGTTTTCTTCTTCCTATTTATTACTTTGCTTTATCCATCTTCCAACAATTAGAGCATTTAAATTAAAATGCTTTGCTGTAGCATTTCTTTCATATTTTTGAGCATACTTAACATTATTAATTTTTCTTCAAATGAATATGATGTATGCTATCTTACACTTACTATTTTATATGTCATTTTTTTTAACAAGTAACAAAAAAAAATTGATTCAGATAATCAATAAATACCATTTAATTCTAACTTAAAATGGAAAATTTAATTTAATCACACAAAATTGTCTTTCATTTTAGTTTTTGGAATAGACAAAATTTTATATTTGAGGTATTTAAATTTAGGGATATTTAATTTTAGTTTATACAAACATTATAGCAAAAGTAATAGAGGTATTTAAATTTGGTAGGTGCTTAAATTTGAAATTTTACGGTATTTAAATATAAAAAAATATTACTTATAATAATTGTAATTCTAATAACTAGTTAAAGAATCTAATATAAAATATTGATATATTTCTGAAGTTTTTTTTTTATTAATTAAAGACAGTTCTTGCTTATTATCAGAAAATAAATTTATGATTTATATTTTAATAATATTAAATTTAATATTTCTATCAAAATGTTTTTATTTTCTAAAAAAATAAAATCTAAAAAAAAATTATTAATAAGGCTTATATAATAATTTTATAAATTTTAATATTATAAATTTATTTAAAAAGATTGAGATTTTCTTTAAAAAGAAAGTTATAAGGGCTTTTTCTCTTTTAAAGAAGATGTTATAAAGACCTTTTCCCTTTAAGAAGAATCACAAAAGCAATTTTTTCAAAAAAAAAACCTCTAGTAATGATTTTTTGCAAGGAAATATTTTTGGTAATGATTTTCTTCAAAGGAAAAGTCACAGAAGTGATTCTATTTAAAAAAAAAGCTACAGATATAATTCTTTCAATAGAAACGACTTTAAAAATAATTCTCATTAAAGAAAAAGCCACAAAAGTGATTTCTTTTAATGAAAAAATATAGAAGTGATACCTTTAATAAAAACGGTTTCAGAAATAATTTCCTTCAAAAAAACATTTATGAAAATGATTCTTTTCAAGAATATGTCTCTAAAAATAATTTTCTTTAATAAAAAAGCTATAGAGGCTATTTCTTCAAAAATATGCTTCTAAAGCATTATTATTTTAAAAGTAACGCTCTAAAAACATTTTTATTTAATGTAACATTCCAAAATATTTTTATTTAATATAACATTTCAAAAGCATTTTTTTAAAATAAATGTTCTGAAAGTGTTTCTTTTAAATAAAATGTTTCAGAAATGTTATTTTTTAAATTAATGCTCTAGAATTATTTCTTTTATATATGATATTCTGAAAACATTTTTATTTAAATAAAATGTTTTAAAAATATTTTTTTTTTAAAAAATAATGTTCTAGAAGCATTTTTTTAAAGTAACACTTTGGAAGCATTTTTTAAAAGTAATGTTTCAGAAGCATTATTATTTAAAAATAATGTTCCAAAAGTGTTTATTTAAAAAAAACACTCTGAAAACATTATTCTTCAAAAAAATATTACTAAAATCATTTTCTTCAAAAAAAACTTTGCCAGAATTGTTTTCTTTAAAGAAAATATTATCAGAACTATTTATCTTTGAAGAAATCATTGTCTAGAATATTATTCTTTAAAATTAAACTGATAGATTTATTATTTTTGAAAATGAAAAATCTAAGCTGATGAGCTAAGCTACATTATGAGTTGAGTTACAGCACAAATTGGCTTAATCAGCTTATAAGCCATTTTATAATAGTTAGAGCTAAGCTTTAGTGAGCTGGCTTATAAGACTTGTGAACTGGCTCAGCTTATGAGAAGTTTTAGTAGTGGTGGTGATGAAAAAAGTGATAGTAATGAGTTTGACATAAATAAATATAAAGCACAGGAAGCTTTCAATTATAAAAATAAATGATACTATAGTCCACCATTTACTTATGTTTAATTTAAGTAAAATCAAGTCACAAGATATAGTAAATCATATGATCCGTAATGTGATTTTACTGGTGACACTCCCATTTCTTCTTACATATATATTTTAATATTGAATTTTTAAGAAAATTACAAATAAAGGATTAAAATTAAAACAGTTTTTTTTATATGAAGTATTAAAAGAAGAATTATTTACATGTGAGATTAATTTAAATTATTTATTTTACATATTCAAAATACCTTCTTAAACTATTTTTGAGTTTCAAGATATTTGGGATAAACTAATTATTTATAATAAATATCTTTACCTAAACTTTTAATAGATTTTCCTGAACTTAATGAAATTTAATCGTTTCAAATTTAAGAAAGTTAAAAAAGTTTCTAAAATTTTAAAATACACATTAAAATAAGTTTTGAATAGTATTATGTATTATTATTGCAATTTTAAAAGGTAAATATGCATTTACTGTAAATTATAAATAAATATAAAATACTGTATATACAATTAAAGTTATGATCACGTATATATTGGGAATATCAAAAAAACTTAAAATTAAATGGTAAAATTTGAAATATTCAACATATAATAAAACGATATATTATGTTGGAATAAGTTTCCACTATGATAGAAATGATTTCAATGAAGATTTTTTTTGTTTCACACCAACTTATAGTTTGTATTTCACCGTAACCACATTAAAGTTCGGACGACTACGACTTAGATAATAGAAGGTTTCAACAAAATTTTATTTATTAATTACACATTTATTACAATTTATTATTATTATTTTTTTTTTTAACAAATAAATACTGCATCAATTTGCCGGTCTAAAAGTTTTCTTCGCATCAGCTAAAGATGATCCTTTACATAAAGCGTCTTTAAGCTTTTTTTCCATATCTGCATTTTGTTCACATATTTCCAAAACTTGATTTAATAAATCTTTAGGTATACATACAACACCATCTATATCCCCAAGAATAATATCATCCGGATAAATTCTTATGGGTGGATCATGATTTCCGTTAAGAGTTAATGGAATATTAAGCGCAGTTGGACGTGTAAATGCCTTTGAAGATAAAATCGTAGATGCTCTAGCAAAAACCTTTCATAATAGCATGTTGATATCAGCATATATTTATTATCTTGTAATATTTTTTTTTTTTTGGTTTCAAATTAATTGCGTACCGGTAGTCCATCAGATCGAAGTTCTGCGAGATCTCGTACTCTACCATCAACTACAATACCTTTCATTCCAAGTACCTTTCCTCTAGTGTTCATTAATCCACCCCAAACAGCATTAACAGCATCTATTTGTGATTATTATTATTATTGTGATGATAATTATTAATTTTATTTAAAAAAAAAAACAAAAAAAAAAATACCAACTTGGAGGAGCAGATAAAACCACTACACTACCAGCGGGAATCGCATCGGCCTAATTATCGGTTCACATTTATATATAAATATATATAAGCAATTAACCAAAATGATTTTCGGAAGCGAATAATGCTTATTATTACGTACATAAGATCCAACTATTATAGGCGATGTAGTATCGGATTTCGGTACAAGCTATTATTGATAAGTATGAATATTCGTAATTAAATGAATTTTACTTTCGAAAATATTGTTTTTGTTTTTAATTATTTAAAAAAATATCACTTTAATAGTATACACGGGGCCAACTAGTTTGGTATCGCCTGCTTGGTGTTCAGGTGAAAACATTACGATATCCGGTAAATAACCTCCAAGTGACTGGTTTAATTGTATGAGAGCGTCGGCGACCTTTTGACAATAGAATAACAACTTTTACTACAGGGAACATTCCCAAATTTTTTTTTTTTTTTTTTTTTTTTTTATAAACCTTCTGGTTTTAAGTTACAAAAAGTACAAAAAAATTTCAAAGATTGCCATGTTTTTTGAACGTACATCAGAAGCCGCAAATTTTTTTAAAGATTCAAGTTTTTCATCCAACGAACGATATGTCATTTTTTTTTTTTCTTTTTTACAATTTGTTAATAATGAAAATAAAAATTCGTTGAAAAAAAAATTTTCGGTTTATATGGCTTATATCGAAAAAAAAGATCTCGGCTTATGTTTATTTATATTATAATGTCGTGTAACGAAGTGTTCACTAAGCTTGATATTCAAGTGAAAAACAAAAAACAATAGTTGACAAGTGACTCTGGACGAGAGATCGCCGCCCTTAATAGAACAACAATTAATATACACATATATATATAAGCACAATAATAAAGGGTGCATTTTTGACACTTTCATTGAATTTACGAAAGTTTCCCAATTTGATTTTTTAAAGAATCTGGTTTTTTATTTGGTCTTATGTTATCATAAGTTGTGTAACAAATAAACTAAAAACCGATTTCGAGCAAAATCTAATCAATCAATCAATCGTAAAAAAAACAGTTTTTACTCTAAAAGAAATTCTTTCTTTTAGTCTGTGTTTCAAAACATGTCTTTTTATAAACTACCACCAAATTATTATCTTCAAATTTATCCTCCTCCTCCTCACCCAACGCCTCCTCCTTCTACTCATACAACTTCACAAAACTTCCTTCACTTTCGTGAATTTCATCATTCTCACTTTACACGGAACAGGAATTTTTTACCATTACCAACCACCCCTCCGTGGTGGTTATGGAGAATGGAAGGGGAGGAAGAAAAGGAAGGTCAATCTGGTAACGAGTATCTAGATCATTGCTATGAGGAAGAAGAACCGGAAGAATTGGAAAAACCTATAATTGAGTTTGTATTAAGCGAGGAGGCAAAAGCAATGTTTCGCTTTTCTGAATTAAGACGGCAACGACGTAAATTTAATTTGGCTTCAATTACTTTCAAGGAATGATTAGAATTTCACTTAAGAGATTAATTTATTTTGTTTAAAAATAAAAAGTTGCGGAAGCAAAAGCAAAAGCAGATGATGATCAAGATTCCAATTCATCTTCAAATAATGATCTCATTGACTCGAGCCCTTGGCCGGATCCTACGCTTATCCCGTCATTCCATCATCAGCCTAGCATAGAATCTAAGGAATTCTATGGAGATTCTTATACATTAATCAATACATTAGAAGCAGCGGTAAATTCCACATTTGCCCAAAGTTTTGATAAATCTAATCAAGACGATGTTGTCTATTGGCCTGTATTACCTTTAAGATATGTTTAAACTTTTTGTTAAGCTTATATAAAAAAATGTAAGTGAATTCTTAATTTATTTTTTTTCTCGTGAAATCTATTTTGATGATAAAAAAGATCATCCTTGTTCTTTGAATAAGCACTACTTTGTGTTTATTATGACGAAAAATTCTTGAGGCCATATAAAATAATCTGAATGGATTCTTTCAATTAATAGAATTTTATTTTTTTCAAATTTACCTTTAGTCAAGAAACAAGTTTATTAATTAATTTCTTTGATTTAGCGTCAAAACTGAAGTAATATTAAATTATCACAAGTCTCATTTAACCTTTTTTTTTAAAAAAAAAAACTTTCTTTTGTGAAGTATTATTTATTTACATTATATCACAAAGGAAAAGAAAAGGTAATAATATTATTAATAGTAAAAGAAAAAAAAACAGTTATCAATCAAAAGAGAAAATAAGGAAAGAGGAAGAGTGAGGAAAAAAAATTGAAGCTATTGAAGCTATTGTGTCATAAATAAAATTTGTAGCATGAATGCATAAAAGAAGAAAAAAGAAAAAAAGAGAAAAAAAATGATATATATATATATATATATATATTGCTTGTTTATTATATAAGTAAGGTGATGAAGTAAGGAATTCTTGTTTAAATGGATGTTTTAATGAGGATGTGTAATTTTTTTTCTATATGGTGAAAATGTGTTGAAAAGGGAGATATTTTTTCGATTATTGGAATTTTTGTGTAATTTTAAAAAAGGAAGGAATTGTGTATTCTTAAATCAAAAAAAAATCATTCATTCATAGGAAAAAAAATCATAAACCTTGTGTATCAAAAAGAAAAAAATGTGTACAGAAAAAAAAATGTATACATAAACTTTACAAATAGAAGGGGATGAAGGTGAAAAAGATAAATAATAAATAGCAATAAAATAGTGAAATTGGTAGATAATAAAGTGATATAAAAAATTTACAAAGAAAAAAAATGATGATAATGATAGAAATAAATTATTATCTCTTCCATCTGTTCCTGAATTGAATATACATCATCTAAACGATCACATTCAGTTTGCTCATGGTGATCGAGAATATGGAAATTAATTCGTCATAATCTTAATGGTAAAAAAAAAAAAAATTTGAAGTGCATCAACTATCATCAACTATGAAAGAAGCCAATAATGCTTATAAAGTTATCTACATTAATCTTAAACTAAAGGTGATGATGATCTTGAGACTTTTTTTTTTGTTACTTTTTTTTTCCTTTTTTTTTTTATTATTTTTTTTTTTTTTGATTTACTATATCATTCAAAGAAATTTATCATCTGTATTCGTTCGTCAATGTGTTTATCGCACGCTAGAAATTCAATTCAATTGAATTCTTGTTTAATCGACTTTTCTGATGCGAGATTAAGGAGATGGGTTGGTGACCGAATTATTTATAAACTTTTTTTTGTTGTGAAAAGTATAAATTTTTTGTGAATTATTTTGATCATTCACAGTAACGAAACTAACTAAAAAGAAAGTATTAAAAGTCCAAACAAATATCATTCTTCTTGACATTTCACAAAAATGTTCAATTGATAATGATATTTGTATATATTGGTCCGTGATAAACCAGACTTTTTAATATAAAATAAAATTAAACTAGCTGATTATTTAAAGATCTTTTTTTTTTTTTTAAAAAAAAAAAAATGCAAATAAAGAACTCGTAATTCTTGATTTTTCCGCTCTGAATGAAAGAGGTGGAAATATCGAAATCATGGATATCCTCCATTTATGGGGGTGGTGCTGGGTGATTGATGCGCGTTCATACCGGAAGATGATGACTGTCCAACTGAAATTGGCCCTATTTGAGAAACCGCTGTTGAGGGAATGTTCATAGACCTGTTGGATCCATTATAAGCAACCTGATGCTGCTGTCCTTGTTGTGGTTGTGGTGGTTGTTTTTGTTGTTGTTGCGGTTGTTGTGGCGGCTGTTGTATCTCCTGCTGGTTATTCTCATGTAATCGTTTTTTTCCTCCACGACGAGGCGCTTGCCCATTCTCATATCGTTGTCGTTTCTTTATGACGTCAGTCTTCATGGACAAAGGACGTCTTTCATGATGTAATTTGAAGCTAAATGAGATAAACAAAAGAATTAATATCATTTGACTATCTAGAAAGGAAACGAAAAATAATAATATATATATATATACTATAATCCGCAGGCATTGCAAAGTGTTTGGCCCTCTTCATCGCGCCTCCATAACGGTGTAGTCATCGTTCTACAATTTGAACAGACAGGTTGTGAAGCTTCATCATCACGGGCATCTTTGCGTACAATATGAGGTTTCATGGTCTTCGGACGAGCCATCTTGTGTAATTTCAAACTAATTTAATGATAAAAAAAAACACGATTGATAAGAATTATAATCCAGAGTTAATTTTCATTTAAAAATTTTTTTTTTTCAAAACGCTTACTATAAACCACAAGCATTACATAAGAGTTCGTCATTAGCCGATCTTCTCCAGAGGGGAGTAGAAGTCACACCGCAGTTAAAACATTGTTGCTCCCCATTCGAATGAGATTTTTTAGGTCTACTATTTTCGGACGTTGATGATGGGGCATTAGCGGAAGGACGAGCGTTAACAGTTGACGTTTCGATCGATGATGTGGACGAACAAGAGGGAGAAGTAGTTGTCACTATAGATTTCGAAGAACCTTGTTGTGGTTGCTGCTGTTGTTGCCCAAGAGACCCTGATGCATTACTCGTATTATTTTGATCCGAAGAAAATTGGTTCAGATAAACACTATTCATCAGACTACTGTTCGATAAGCCGGTGACAGGAGTGTTAAGAGGGGTGTTCAGCGGGGTATTGTGTGGAGTATTCATTGACGTTATAGAGATGTTAAGGTGTGAAGGATTAACGGGCGTAGGATCGGTATTTCTAACATAGACAGCATCATGCAATCCGGATGATGTCCTACCAACCAACGGATTATTCAACGTTTGAAACTGCAGGTTTGACTGCATATCAGGATTTTGTGCGACATTTTCAGTGTACCAATGTTCTGTAGGGGAATTAGGTTCCGACGAGTCGGAAGAATAAAATTGGTGAACACTCAAGACTTCATTCAAGTCCAACATCATAGTAGGTTGTTGAGTGTTAGGATCCAATATGGCTTGAGCATCGAACGAAGGAGTAAAAACCCCCGGTAATGAAACGACTTGATATGGATCTTGATCATTTGTATACTGACGTAAATAGAAATCTTGACTGACTTCGCTAAATCTGAAAATATCTACGAGCGACCTAGGAGAATTCTCGTTAACAGAAGAATTAAGCGCATTTGTCCCGTTATCTACGACTAAAAAAAATAAATTAAATAAATAAATAAACGAGATGATTAAATAATCTGTAAGATATATTCATATTATACCAACTTACTATTTAAGGTCATATTATCATCCAGAGTGTCCAAATCCATTAATTCAGCGCTGCTTTGATCATTGGTCGAGGTGGAGTTGACCGTTGCGATTATTTCACTATCATTTCCATAATCAGGTTGCAAATTGTTTCCATAATCGGCATTAAGGTCGGTGGTATTTGTGGGAGATGAAGAGGCAACGATTTCAGTGCCTGGAGACGATTCGGCAATATTTTTTGGAATTTTGACGTTTTTTATATTATTGGTCTTTTTTACTTGTGTTGAGCCAGTAGACATCTGCTTTTTCGTTGTCTTTTTTTTTCCTTTCTTTTCAATCATTACTTCTTGAGTCTTTGGTCGATAAAGTGGTACCGGTAGACTTTTTAGATTCGTAGCCTTTTCGATTTCTAATTTTTTTGTTGTGGCAGTGGACAACTTTTTAAATTGGGAGTGAGACTTTTGATCATGAACCATGAGGTGATGCATGAACCAGAGTCTCCATGATAGATTTTCTAGACGCATTCCATATTCCAATGCATCCTTCACTTTTGTCATTAACCGCCATGTCTTGGACAAATCTTCATCAGTCTCGATGGATAACAGTGAGAATGCTTTATTGCCTTTGATCTTAAGCTTTGTTGGAGCCATTTAAGAAGTAATAAATAGGTAACTAGAAGGATGAGAGATAAGGTAACGAAAAGAGAAAGTTTAATAAAGTTAAAAAAAAATGATATAAATATGATATAATGATCTTGAAATAAGTTAATCTAAAAAATGATACGTTCAAGTAGTGAACAATATCCCGTTCAGAATATGGCTTAGTTTAAAACCGAAACACGAGCTCCTTGAACTTGAAACTGTGAGAAGTAGTAAAGTAAAATTTTACCTTGATAAAAAATTTATATATATATATATATATTTTAGACTTAAATTATTATATAAATTAAGGAGAACACGAAATAAATCTACGGAGTTAACAGATTTAGTTGAGTTGAAGGTTTTAAAAGAGATAGTTAACTACTCTTATCGACAAGGTCGAATAAAAGAAGAGAACGAGGTTTTATTTGCGAACTTTTGGGATGGAGTCGAACGCAAAAAAAAGTGAGCAACCGTAAAAAAAAAATTGACTAAAAAAGCAACTCAAGAGTGGCAAGGGGGGGGAAGGGAACTGGGAGTGACAAATATTACAAATATTGTTTAAACCAAAAAAAAAACAGAATTAATAATATAAATAATAAAAATAATAATAAAAAATAAATAAAATAAATAAAATTTGAAGGTATACTTTAAAATCTTTTCAGATTGATTAAAAAAAAATTTCTTTAATTTAAATGGCGTAGCATTACAGTAAATTGTATATAAATTATAGATCAAAACGTTTTAAACAACATTCAAAAAAAAAAATTAACAAAAAGAAAAAAAAAAATATAAATATAATAAATGGAGAATCTTTTCTCTTTTTTTTTTTTAAATTGAGGCGAAATATTATGTTTATTATTTGGGGCATGCATATGATATAAATATGACTTACTTATCCAGTAATTAATTCAGCCAAGTCCGTGATTTCTCTGCAATTTGCTCTGCCCATTTGGTGATACAATTTAACATGGAGAACTTACATTCGAACACTCTCTGCACACATGTAACAAATAAAACTGTACGACTAAAACGTAAAATTTACAACAACGAAAAGATGTTCGATGAACATCCATTTCTCGTACCTTTTAACAGGCCGGAAAATACAAATGAATTTTTTGTTCTCAATTCGTGTTGCGATGACGATTATTAATTCGACCTTATAAATTTCTTTTTCTTTTTTCTTTTTATAACCACAGGAAAATAAGATGTTCAATAATGCAACATTCTATCATGCGAGAATTGGTTCCTTTTTATTTTTTTCACCTTTATATAAATCCATAAAGAGTTAAAATCACTTCCCCCTCCCAAGATATTCATGTGCGAATAAAAACTTTCAATTCAGGTCGCATGTAAAATGGTTCTCGTTGGATTGTTAGATCTGTTACACCAATCTAACAATGTGAACATCATATAAATCAAAGTTATCAATTTCAACTTAAATAAATAGTTTAAAAAAAACCGGAGTTGTAAAAAAACTGCATTGGTTGTACATTTATTTATAAAGAATATTTATTGACAGCTCTTTAAAAATATTATTTTTGTTTATTATATAATATTAAAAGTAAACCATTTCGTATAACATTATTACAATAAGGGAAAGTTCATTTATCTCATTGAATTGTTTAATACTTGTTATTAACTAGTTATTTCTTATATAATCTATTTTTTTATTATAAAAAAATTGTCAAAGAATTTATTACCATTTATGGTAATATTATTATCTAACCACAGAACTGTGGGAATTTAATTTTGCCAAATCTAATTTGTTCATTCAATAAATACTTTTTGATATGTTATTTGATTTTACATATTAGGTTCTTCATGAACTCTGTGTCAAATAGTCAACTTTAAATCAAAAAAAAAAATTAAAATCTGCTTTTTAATTTAGGACCAGCAAGTTATGTCACACTATCAATTCAACAATGAACAATACTATCATTTATTGTGATACCTTTTAAATGATCTCATTTACTTTCAAAAATGTTCAAAAATAGACTTACATTATCAATAATAAAAATAAATCCACCAACTCGGCTCAAATTGCAGCCGAAATCTGCTGTGATTGTCAGTAGTTGATGTCGCCTGGGGTGATGATTTAGCGAATTACGCATTGTGATGATCTAAAATTTATCCTAATTTTTTTATTTGATTACTTAAGATATTGCGTCATTTAAAAATTCTGTAAACATTCCGATTTCTTCCTCCCATTTGGTTGAAAAATAATCCCGTAATCCCACGTGAGTTATACAATGATCTACCTAGCATGAATTTAATTTTATCCTCTATAAATGGGAATTTTGGATTATTTCCCCCTCTCTTTTCATCTATTCATTAAATAATTCTTTTTATATGAGGAAAAATACATAAACGAATTGATTTCTTTTCTCTTTAATCTATTCAAATTTTAATTAATTTCATCGTTCAAGTCTAAAGATTTATATGGTATTTTTCACACGCATTGACCATTTACTTGATCCATTTATGGAAAAAATCTACCATAAACTTTTGTTACACGACAACAGAAGGAAAAAATTTTTTCATAAAATATTTGATTAAATCTATAATGTGAAATTTAATTATATAAAATTATAAACTAAAAATTTTCGATATTGGATTGGATATGTTAAAAGATGCACTAATATACACACAAAAAAAAAAAAATCTTGTATATTTTGATTAATATAAGCAAACCATGAATTATACATCTATGAATTAATATATACAAACGTCAAAGTTTCGGCAATCCAAAAGGATAATCAAAACAGTACAATCTCGATATATGAACCTTGTAATGAAGAGTTCTACGCCGTACCAAATCTGTATTTTTTTGTATACAATCTTCATATTATCATATTGGTTTCATTATTAAAAAAGGAACCCTTTAGTATATATCATAGTCTTCTGATATACCGAAGTTTTAGCAATAAAAGGTAACTTCAATAATATCAAGAGTATACTAAATAAATGTTAGTAACGTTGCTTAATCGGTATCATCTGAAATATCGTTATGAACTGTTTTATAGTGCATCGCGCTCTTCTCCCATACCTTACCATTACCTGGCGGAAGTACTGGTATAGGAAGGAAAATCGTATATATGGGACTATAAATAATAATTATTGTTAAATAATAATAATAATAATATAAAAGGGGAAGAGAATGGATTGTCACTTACTATTTGCTGTTTTTAAAAAAAATTTTTTAAAGAAAAATTAGTGAGGATCACGTGAAAAATGTCAGAGTAAAGAAAAGCTTACAAATTCTGGCCAACGTTAAAGAATTGACGAAAATTATTCAAATATCCCAAATCATATGGATTTGAATATACCTAAGGAAAAAAAAGATATCAAGATACTAAATCAAAAAAAGGTCAATTGCTCAAGATCGATTATTATTACCTCTCCTTTTTGTTTAGCTGAACGTCTCGCGTATTGATTGTTGTAAAATTCCACCGTAGTTTGCGATGTTAAAACCTAAAAAATTTGCTATTTAATTGAAAATTATTTAAACCATTATGTTATATTAATAACCTACTAGATAATAATGCCATGAACACATCCCTCCTACAAGTATATGTCACAAGAAAACAAATATTAATTATTCAATTCTCCAAAATAATAATAGTAAACAAGAGACACATTCATAGTACCTAACGCTATTCCAATCGCGACAGCAAGCAAGAATGATAAAGCCATATACGGTCTTGGCATCCAATAATCCCACTTCATAAAAATAGCATTAGCTTGATTCAATTCTTAGTTTAACCAAATAAATTAGATGTTTGTTTTTACAGTTACCTCAGCTTCGATGTCAAGACTAAGCAAAAAGATTTTCCATCCAACAATAGCAAAATAAAAACAAGCAATTACCAAGTAAGTCATAAAAAGTAAAAAATATCTATGATTAAAATGTCCAACACAATTCGCTATCCATGGACAATGGTGATCAAATCTTAATACACATTTTTTACACACTGAACAATGATGTGCTCTTTCAGGTTTTGGAAGATGACCTAAAATAAACATAAATAAACATAAATATTAAAACAATGTGCATTACTAATTCAATCTTTTAAAAAGGAGTGTGAATATACATTTTTTGCACGTTTTTGGAAATTCTGCATATTCTTCCAATTCAAGAAATAGTCCTTGTAAAGTTGGATCATCTGATTCCTATATAAAAAAATTGATCATTTTTAATTAAACATATTCAGCAAAAAATAATAAATAAAATGTATAAAATATTATGGATTTACCGTTTCGGCAGTTCCAGCATTCAATACACCTCCAGGTTTTGTTTTAACCGCCATGTAATAATGAAAAAATATACAAGTAACCAGATATATACTAAATATTAAGCCAATATAATAATAAACTTTTGTCCAAATATAATCGTCGTCCCATTTATAAAAATAAGGAAAGACAACCGTAAAATATGTCAGAGCTGCCATCCCAATCAACCCTATTGCCAGCAAGATAAATATAGGGCCAATAGCAAAAATAACCGTATTAGCTACTCTATCGACTCCACTAATAAAACTACGTCGGGTTGGGGTATACATTATTATGACTTGCAATTTTAACTTTACCGAAAATATAAAATGTCAAATTTACAAAAATCGACAAAAATGTAAATATGGAAACATGCCACAAAAAATATTGCGTCACATTTGCAACATTTGCACAAGCACAAAATTATCGACCTGCATTATTATGTAACTTTATTATATCTTTTAATGAATGTATTGAAATATAATTTGAAAAATTCCTATATGCTAAAAGATACGTTATTTCATCTTAATACGTTCAACTCATTAATGATTATTGCTTATTTTATGCAGATTGAATTTATTTAATTTAGAATTTATATCTATTTGATGTTTTTCAAATTTATATAATTTTATAAAAATATTTTTAGTTAGTATTTATAATAATTCATCTTTTTATAATTATTAAATATTAAATATTTAAATTTCATTTATTATTACACTTAGAGTTAGAAAAGTCCAAAAGTTTTAAATTGGATCTGATTAATTTTAAAAAAATTATAAGTTTAAAGACATATTTTTAAATATTATCTTTATAAACAAATTTTTAATCAAAGTTACTTTTAAATTAAGTCATGTTTTTAAAATTTAAAATATATTTTAAAATATTAGGTTTAGAACTTAGATATTAGAACCAGATCTTAAATTAAGTATATTTCTAATTTTTAAAGAATTTTTTTTATTTTATATTAGTAGAGCCAATTTGGGGGTTCTGGGGTAAAATCGAAACAATACCCAAAATAGATCTCCAAGCCTTTTTCCAATCAATTTTA